TTCGAAGATTAAGTTTATAGAAAGAAGATGGTCTGAAGTTTGCAAAGAATCTAGAGTTAGGTTCTCATTTCAGTTATGCCACAAACAAGTTATATAACGGATTTATCAAAGTTAGCTTTTCCGAAGCCTCTACCCACCACAGGGTTGTAGGAATGACATATAACATACATGTATTTTGTTGCTGAATAGCACTCAGATTGGAGATGATAGGAAAAAAAAAAAATCACTGAACTTGAAAGGATATCAAAAGAATTACCAATCTGAAGAATGGAAAGAAAAAGAAGGAAGAAAAATGAGGAGAGGCTTAAGGACATATGAAAAACATCAAATGGTCTAAAACAAGTGTAAGTGGTGAGACTGAAGTAGAAAAAATATACTCAAAGAAGTATGGCCAAAACTTCCCAAATTTGATGAAAACAGCAACTTACAAATCAGAGCTCAAGAATGGCAGGTAGGCCAGATACAAAGAAAACCAGACTTAAATGCACAAACTGTTTAAAACCAAACAAAAGAGAAAATCTTAAGTGTACAAAGGAAAAAAAAGACCATACATACTGAAGAACAAGGATAAATATTACCTCTTTAAAAAAAAAAAAAAAGAGGCTACAACACAATAGAACATCTTTAAAGTGCTAAAATTAAAAAAAATCATCAGCCCAGAATTTTATATTCAGCAAACCAATCTTTCAAAAATTATGATGAAATAAATACTTTTCAGATAAATAAAAGTTGAGACAATCAATAACAAACACTTTAGAAATAAAAGGATATCCCTCAGGCCAAAGGAAAAGGGGCACCATGGTTGAATGAAAATCACCAAAACTGTCTTATTACTAAATGAGTGGCTTCTGCTTCCCTCTGGTGCTTGCTGTGAGGGTACATATGCTAATTTGTCTTTAAAGGGCAGACTGGGTCCGCCAGGTGGCTCATGTCTGTAATCCCAGCACTCTACCAGGACTAGGAGGAAGGATGGCTTGAGACTAGGAGTTGGGGACCAAGAGTTGGACACCAGGAGTTGGAGACCAGCCTGAGCAACATAGCAAGACTTATTTATACAGAAAATTTTAAACATTAGCCAGGTGTGGTGGCACGAACCTGTAATCCAGCTACTTGGGAGGCTGAGACATGAGATTGTTTGACCCCAGGAGTTCTAGGTTGCAGTAAGCTATGCCACTGCACTCTAGTCCAGTTGACAGAGCAAGATTCTGTCTCAAAAAACAAAACAAACAAACAAAAAAAACCCACCACAGGCCAGTCTAAAATTTTCATGGAAAAGACTACAAAGTACCTTTAAATCATGATATTTTATGAAATAGACTCTGAGTAATGAACTACTGAGCTAAAATAACTTAGACAATGTTACAACCATACTATAGGACAAAATTTCTAGGTCTCCTTTATATACCTAAAGCAGACAAACTTCTTTAAAGGTGACTGCAGAATAAGACTAAGCAAAACCATTACAAAGGACTGAATGAACTAGTGAGAAATTTAATCAGTTATTTATTTTGGAATATTGTTTTTTTAATATTCTGTTTTCTGATGGGTATATGAGGAAGTCTTCATCAACTATCTCTAGCCTTCAATTTAACAAATTATGCTTCGCTGGCCAAACATAAGACAGGCTGGGCGCAGTGGCTCATGCCTGTAATCCTAGCTCTCTGGGAGGCCGAGGTGGGCAGACTGCTCCAGGTCAGGAGTTCGAAACCAGCCTGAGCAAGAGCGAGACCCCGTCTCTACTATAAATAGAAAGAAATTAATTGGCCAACTGATATATATATAGAAAAAATTAGCCAGGCATGGTGGCGCATGCCTGTAGTCCCAGCTACTCGGGAGGCTGAGGCAGGAGGATTGCTTGAGCCCAGGAGTTTGAGGTTGCTGTGAGCTAGGCTGATGCCACGGCACTCACTCTAAAAAAAAAAAAAAAAAAACCAATTATTTTGGTGCTAAAATTGTCTTATGAAATATAAGCCTTGAAAAAAATAGGAATTCATGAATCCATAATACCAATAAACAGGGCTCTTGATTATAGGATAAGGACAAGAGCTGACCGGTAAATGTATAAAGAATGCTGGAATGAGAAACTTACCATTTCAACCATCACAGTAAAAACTGGATCAGATAAGAATCCATGAATGCTAAATCTAGAGGAAACTGTGATGAGAATCAGAATACCTGCACTGTTTCCCCACAGACTGCTTATTGCTTGGTGGGAGGGCAAGGGGGAATAAACTATACAGTGGAGAAATCTGGCAACACCTTAGCCAAGTGGTCAAAATTAACATCAAAATGGGGACAGATGGACATGATGTGCCTCCAAAAGTTGTGTTTCTTTCTGAGCACATCACATTACCTATGCAGTATTCCAGCCCGGAGTATATAACCTCAATCTAATCACAGGGAAACTTCAGACAAACATAAAGAACATTTTATTAAAGGGGGTGAGGGCCATGGAGGAAGGTTGTATTCTTCAAAAATGTCCAATTTCATCATAAAAGATAAAGAAAGGCTGTGAAAAGATCCCAGGAAAAAGGAGGCTAAAGAAAAATACTATGGAACCCATACTATTAAGTGAAGTTTCCCAAGAATGGAAAAACAAGCACCACATATACTCACCAGCAAATTGGTATTAACTGAACAGCACCTAAGTGGTCACATAGGTACTACAGTAATAGGGTACTGGGCAGGTGGGAGGGGGGAGGGGGCGGGTATATACATATATAATGAGTGAGATGTGCACCATCTGGGGGATGGTCATGATGGAGACTCAGACTTGTGGAGGGAGGGGGGAAATGGGCATTTATTGAAACCTTAAAATCTGTACCCCCATAATATGCCGAAATAAAAGAAAAAGAAAAATACTAACTAAATGCAGTACCTGACCCCAGAGTAGATTCCACACAGACAAAATAGAAAATGCCATAAGACACTTTTATTAAGTCAATTGATAAAACTGGAATATGGACAAAAGATTCATACTGATATCCATTAATAAGTTATTAACTGTGCAATGATTATATAAGAGAATGACCCAATTCTTAGGAAAAAGAATTAGGGAAGAAGTACCACATATGTAACTTACCCTCAAGTGGTTCAATAAAGAATGTGTGTGTGTTTATGTGTGTAGAGAAAGACTAGAAAAGAAGTAGGAGCACAGGAATACGATAACATTAAGCAAGGGGATGAATCTGGATAAGGAGTATCTAGATGTTCTTTATACCATATTTCTGTGAAAATATTTCCAAATAAAAAGTTTAAAAGAAAACCATGGAGATAGTTCTCTGCTATGTTCAAAAGAGAATGGCTATATATCACATAATTAATCAAGGTATTTTATAGGAAAATTGTGAGAGCTAAAGCTGGTGGCTTAGATAGATTCCCAGATAAAAATCCATTTCAAATGGGAGTTTGCACTTTTTTCTGCAAGCCAGGGAAAGGTAACACAAAGCTTAGAGTATAACAGAGGCTTGGCTAAAGGGATATATCAAGAAAATCTAGCAAAATTATAAGTGGGTAGACACCATTGATAAGGAAGCAGTAGAGGGACATGGATAAATGCAATCATGAAATTAACAGGTCCTGGCCCAAGAAGCTAAAATTAGAAACAGAAAGCAGAATAAATGCAAGAGACATGAAAATAGAAAAGCAGATTAGACCTGTTTATTAAATGTATCAAAGGTGGGTGTGGTATTCAAAAAAGACTCTGATTTCAGGCCTAGCTAACCAAGAGAATGATGATATTACTAACTAAAAGAAATTTAGCTAAGCAAGGCATAATTGCTTTCTCAGCTCTCAGACAACTTTTTTCTATTCTCATTTTTCCTATTCTAGTGCAGTATTGAAAGTTAAGGAAAGGGCCGGGTGCGGTGTCTCACGCCAGTAATCCTAGCACTCTGGGAGGCCGAGGTGGGCGGATTGCTCGAGGTCAGGAGTTCGAAACCAGCCTGAGCAAGAGTGAGACCCCGTCTCTATTATAAATAGAAAGAAATTAATTGGCCAACTAACATATATAGAAAAAATTAGCCAGGCATGGTGGCACATGCCTGTAGTCCCAGCTACTCAGGAGGCTGAGGCAGCCGGATTGCCTGAGCCCAGGAGTTTGAGGTTGCTGTGAGCTAGGCTGACACCACGGCACTCACTCTAGCCTGGGCAACAAAGCGAGACTCTGTCTCAAAAAAAAAAAAAAAAAAAGTTAAGAAAAGGATTTAGATGAAATGTTATTTGCCAACACAAGCAATCTGGGGAAATTAGTCTTCACAAGGTGAAACAGTAAACACAGATTGGAGCTGACTCAGATTCTGACTAAGCACCATTAAAATATTCACACACAAGGAAGAGGGGAGTTTCCCCTCTTCCCCCCATAATTATGTTTGTGTATATATGTATATACATACATAGGAATACAGTCAACTCTTAAACAACACAGGTTTGAACTGCACTGGTCCATTTGTACATGGATTTTCTTCTGCCTCTGCCACCCCGGAGACAGCAAGACTAACCCCTCCTCTTACTCCTCCCATTCCACCTACTCAATGTAAAGAAAAACATCTTTATGATGATCCATGTCACTTAATGAATAGTAAACATATTTTCTCTTCCTTATAATTTTCTTAACATTTTCTTTTCTCTAAGCTTACTTTATTAAGAATACAGTGTATAATACATATACAAAATATATGTTGAGAAAGTATATTATCAGTAAGGTTTCTGGTCAATAGTAGGCTATTAGCAAAGTTTTAGGGAACTCAAAAGATACACAGAGTTTTGACTCTGCAAGGGGCCAACGCTCCTAACCCCCACATTGTTCAAGGGTCAACTGTATATACACATATGTATTCACTCAAGTATTCCATGGCCATTCATACAACTAATATTCTCATTAAACAAAAAACATAAAGCAAAAAATGGGTTTAAATTTAATCATAAATAAAAAAGTAGTATCTTCAGAAGGCTGAAGTGAAGAAATTACAATCAATCAAGTCAAAGTAAAACTGAATTACCTGGCTAGCCAGTCAAACGATGTTCAAGTAGTTTATTTTTATTGGTCTCTGAGTCCACTGTTCATCAAGTATTTTGATCCTGAGGACAAAAAAGGGGGGAGGTTGAATTTTATCGCCCTTGCCTCAAATAAGCACCATTAGTAGTCACACACAAATTAATTCTTCCCATTCTTCCCATCCCCAGATATATGAAACAAACAAAAGCTATCAAGGGAAACGTCTTTTCCTAGGAATTTGAACAGATGTCTTATTTTGCCATATATCACTACTTCTGTTTTAAAAATTTGGCATGGTGTACACAATATACTCTATCAGTTTGTTAACATACAAAATGCAAAGTGGAGGTGGCAGAGACCAGCTCTAAGTCCTGAAAAGTGACCAAACCAATAGGTACGTCGTGCACGGTGGCTCACACCTATAATCCTAACACTTTGGGAGGCTGAGGTGGGAGATCATTTGTAAGCCAGGAGTGCAAAACCAGGCTGGGCAAGGGCAAGACCCCATCTCTACAAAAAATAGAAAAATTAGCTGAGGAGCAGTGGTTCATGCCCGTAGTCCCAGCTACTCAGGAGGCTGAGGCAGGAGGATTGCTTCGGCCCAGGAGTTTGAGGCTGCTCTGAGCTAGGCTGACGCCATGGCACTCTAAGCTGGGCAACAGACCAACAGAGTGAGACTGTCTCAAAAATAAAATAAATAAATAAATAAATAAATAAATAAATAAATAAATAAATAAAATATATATATATATATATGTAATAAAAGGATGCATTTGAGTCACCAAGAAGAAACATTTTTAAATGGGGAAATGAGGAGTTCCTCAAAATAATCTACAATAAAACACAGGAACAGGCCGGGCGCGGTGGCTCACGCCTATAATCCTAGCACTCTGGGAGGCCGAGGCGGGCAGATTGCTCAAGGTCAGGAGTTCAAAACCAGCCTGAGCGAGACCCCATCTCTACCATAAAAATAGAAAGAGGCCGGGCGCTGTGGCTCACGCCTGTAATCCTAGCTCTTGGGAGGCCGAGGCGGGCGGATTGCTCAAGGTCAGGAGTTCAAAACCAGCCTGAGCAAGAGCGAGACCCCGTCTCTACTATAAATAGAAAGAAATTAATTGGCCAACTGATATATATATAAAAAAAATTAGCCGGGCATGGTGGCGCATGCCTGTAGTCCCAGCTACTCGGGAGGCTGAGGCAGAAGGATCACTCAAGCCCAGGAGTTTGAGGTTGCTGTGAGCTAAGCTGACGCCATGGCACTCACTCTAGCCTGGGCAACAAAGCGAGACTCTGTCTCAAAAAAAAAAAAAGGGAAAAGAGGAAAATACAGATAGTGCAGGTTGAAAATCCCTCATCCAAAATGTTTGGAACCAGAAGTGTTTTGGATTTCAGGTTTATTTGGATTTTAGAATATAAGTGCATATACACAATGAGGTATCTCTGGGAATAAATCACAGTCTAAACACAAAATTCATTTCATATATATCCTATACATATAGCCTAGAGGTATATTATATGTTTTTAATAATTTTGTGGTTATAACTAAGTTTATACTGTGTTTTGACTATGATCCATCACATGAGGTCAGGTGTGGAATTTTCCACTTGTGGTATCATGTTGGCATTCAAAAAGCTTTGGATTCAGATTAGGGATGTTCAACCTGTAGTGTCAGTGCTATGCAATTACAGATGTAAAACGAGTTGATATATCACTCAACATGTCTATCTATAATCATAGGACAGTCTCCAACTTATAATTGAGATATGTGCCAAAAGTAAGCTGGCTGTATTTAAAACTTGGAATACATATTCCAATCTACATATAATTAGTTGTTGGCATAATGGTTAAAGAGCAGAAGCTTTGGAGTCAGAAAGATTTAGACTTAACACCTAGCTCTCCCACTTACTAGCTAATTAGTTCTTAGTCAACTTGAGACTTCATTTTCTGGGGAGCAGGTTAAAAAAAAAAGATTAAGGCCTTAGATTTTGAAATTGGGACTTGGTCACACCTCATAAGGCTTTTGTGAGGATTAAGCAAAAATGTATAAATTACTTATTAGCACCTAGCTCATAGAAGCTCAATAAGCTATTATTAATATGACCCAAACAAAAGACAATTTGATACATAATACAAACTTAAGAATTTCCAAGCACACTGAAATTTAAAAAATTATATGGAAGAATCATTAGTTTTCATTCTTAAATGAGTTTGATGTTTTTTTAACTTGAATTTTTATGCCATCCAATTTAATTAGAGGGGGAAAAGGTAGGCAAGAACTTCTGTAAATAATTGGCCCTGGTTTTAAGTCAGGTTTCAATTCAGAAATGGTTCTTTTATTGTTTTTTTTTTTTTTCTACCCTACTTTAGTAAGCTGGTCTATGTTGTTCCTTTTTGAGAGGGGAGAAAGAAAGGTCACGGAGTGGGGTCAGCATCTAAGGAACAAGAGGGGTGGGAAAGGAATTAGAGTCAAAAAGTACCTAGTACAGCCACAGTGGCGAGCACCTATAATCCCAATTACTCAGGAGGTTGAGGTAGGAGGACCACTTGAGCCTAGGAGAGTTCAGGCCCAGCCTGGGCAAAATAGTAAGACCCGTTCTCTTTAAGAAAAAAAAAAAAAAAATTACAAAAGAAAATACTCTAATATCTTAACAACTGACCCAGGAAATAAATACTACTGCCTAGTGTGGAGAGTTGGTGAGAGAACACAGGCTAATATCTCAAGTATTATATTGCTGTTTTTCATAATCCTTCTCAAAGGAATGCTGACCCCATCAATCTGCACACTTAGGACCCAAAGAAATGCCATCTACAAAATTCTCCCCCTTCAAATAAGTATATAATGGACTGGAGAGGTTCCCAAATAGTCACAGCTGATTGGTTTGACTACCAGGAACCTGGAAGGGGTACTACTACAATATCCCAGGATCCTCTAAGTATGGAACTGCTGGTGAGTTAAACTTATCTGGAACTAAGATCCTGCAGAGGCAAACAATTCTAGCAGATTTCTTAGGACAGCATTTTTTTTACCTTTATAAAAAATAAAGTTATTTTTATCTCTTTTCATAATTTGGACTTTAGTCAATCATACATACAAAAACCAAATCACTCTGACATAAAAACTGAATATGATACTTTCCAAAAATATTAGGTATCTGAGAAAGCAGGGGTTGGAGGAACACTAATTTTAGTACTAGAATTAACAGAAAGTTAACTGATGAGATCTACATTATCAAAAACTGCATCACTAGGCTGGGCTCAGTGGCACAAGTGTGGAGTCCCAGCTACTCGAGAGGCTAAGTTGGGAGGATTACTTGAGCTCAGGAGAGTTCGAGCCCAGCCTGGGCAACACAGAAAGAACTCTGTCTCTTATTTTAAGAAATAAAAATAAAAATAAAAAAGCCTGTATCACCAGAGAGCTAATGAGGAGGGAGGATCAAACTGAACTTTGTTAATAGCTACTCTGAGAAGGTGTGTCTCAAAGCCAGACAAAGAATCAACCTGGAGGAGAGGAGTTAATAGACAGGAAAATCCAAATTATATAATGCTGATGCTCAGAAACACCAACAGGACAAAAATCAGCCACTGAATATTATGAACATGTTTTTCTTTTGCTGTTTAACATGGAAAGGGGCAAGGACTCTACTATTAATCATATTAAACTCATTGTTCTTTCCAAGCTGCTGCTGGCATTGCTCCCAGGGACTCCCTTTCTCCTCACTTCCCTAAATCGTAGAGAGGGGGAACCACTGTCACTGGGAATAACCAGCTGCTGCCCACTAATCTTCAAAGCACTACAGAGTAAAATAGTGCACAAATTTCAAGTTATGTAAATAAAATAATATTAGTGTTAAATTTAACATTCTTTTGCAGCAGTTGGGATTATTTATCAAGTGATAAATATATCCTCTGTCAAAATTTTAACAATAGATTTCACTTGCAACAATCAACCGAACCGGATCTGTAGCTATACTGGCGAGAATGAATGTTAAGTTAAAAATCATAGGAAAATTTACAATTATATAAAAATGTACCATACTTTTTTGAGCTGTATAAACTTAATTCAGTTACAATTTATTATTTAGTCCATTATTATGTGTTCAAGTAAGTAAGTAAAATGTATTTGGTACCCAGAAGAACACTTGTAAGACACTGATCACAATCTTTGTAAAATACTATAATATAATCTTTTTGAGAGGATAAGGGAAACAGCTTAGGCATGTCTAGTAAAATAAGGACAGGGTTAAAAAAACTAACATGCATTTCCACTTATCCCATCATATATCACTAAAAAGGGTCAAGCCGATGTATAATAATTTATTCTGCATAGTTATTTGATAAATTAAAATCAACTTTTAGTTCTGTACAGTCACTCTGAAATTTTAAATACAGTGAAAACAAAAGCCTTAGATTAAAAAGATCTAGGTTTTGTAAAGTCCAACTTCTTGAAGTGATCTTTCACAAGAAATTTAATTCAATTTAATTTAATTTAAAGCTTGCTATATATCTATTAGATGTCAAGTACTGCACTGGCACTTGGAAATATAAACAAATCATGGTTCCTGCCATTAATTAAGAAAGGAGAAGCAGCTATAAACAGACACTAAAGTTCCTGAAATGAAAGCTATGTTCACTCAGTAAGCATTTGCTAAGCATCAGTGTTGCACTGTTTCAGAAACCAGGGATAAAAGGAAGAATCAAAAGTAGAAGACAGAGTCCCCTAATAGTATTAAAGGAGAAAACAGAGGAAAAACTAACCACCACCTTTTTCATAGGATTATTTTGGTAAGTGTAAAGCATTGTTTAGATGTGAAAGCAAGATAAAATCTAGAACCATTTTATCATAGCCCTCCCCCCCAAAAAAAGAGAATTAAAGAAATTAGAATGTACAATTTCTGCAGTTACGGTACAGAGTTATCATAAAGAAAATGCCATTTGAGTTTCTTTATAATAAAAGACAGAGGACGAAAAAAACTTTCATAAAATGTTGGCCATTTGTGTAAAAATTTCATGGGACATAGGAAATATAAATGAGATGTATAAAAGGTAGCTAAAAATGAAAGCATTTTTAACTTAACACATCCAG